AGAGAGAGAGAGAGTTATCATTCAGATCTCAGTTTAGGCACTTTTTCATACTTGAACAAACTAGGACAGCCCCACATTATCCAATCTGAGCAGCACCATGCTGCCGCTTTTTGAGTAGACTAGCGTAGCACCTACAGGTACGAAAAACTCAGGGTTTTTGAGAGAAAACTCCGGCGAATCATCCACAGTTGCTCACAAACCTCAAAAATAGTTAACGATTAGTTACACAACAGCAACAAAACCACACATAACGCTAAATGCAGATCCACATAGGTTTGTGCCGGGAGGGGAAAAAAAGACTAGGAAGCAATTCTAGGATTTAGATCGAAAGCCCTAGGAAGTAACCTCCAGTTTGCTTTTTTTTTCTATGGGTAGACAAGAAAAGCGAGAGGGAAGAATCTTATACCATGTTAGAGAAGGGTGAGAGATGAAAAGAAAAGAGGGAGAGGAAGAGAGAGTGATGTGAGAGTCCAATAGATCTCACACTACTCTCAAATCTCTTTTTGTATCAATGAAATTAGAGAAATGGCAAAACTACTCATACAAACGGGAAATAGGACATATAGGTGGTACTAACTTAAATAAAAGAGAAATAGAGATAAAGAAATGACTTTTAACAGTTCAAAAAGTCTAAACTTTAAACCAAAGTACCTCTTGGCTTCTCAATTGCCTAAGCTATCCTCTTGCTCCAACCTGGAGAAAACATCAACCAATCATGTTCTATCCAGTAAGGAGGATTTGATCATTTTATACATGGGAATTGCTATTTGTGCCATGCCATCATTTTGCTATTCTTACTGGAAACATGGTTGGCATCACAAGCAGCACCGGCGTTTGACATTTGACCCTGTATTTTGGGTGGGATTAGCAAGAACAGTTGTCAAATAGAAATTTCCTTTATACATTTCTTATAATATTGTTGAAAACAAATTTAGGACAATTTTGGAATGCCTGACATATCTCTTGAGGAAACAAGAAAACCACTATGAGTGTAAAATAGCAAGAAAACCTAAAATATTTAGTTTTAAAGATAATTATGAAAAATATTTATTTACTTCTAAAGATTTCATTTTAGTGATAAAATGTTGCATATTGTTAGGCCTCTTAGGGTAGCTACTCACATGCAAATGAGAAAATGGAATATATGTTGTACACGGAGATGAAGCCTATGTAAAATGACTTGAAGATGACCTATAAAAATGTTGCATATTGTTAGGCGTCTTAGGGTAGCTACTCACATGCAAATGAAAAAATGGAATATATGTTATAAACAGAGATGAAGCCTATGTAAAATGACTTGCAGATGACCTACCCTAATAAGCCAACATGTCCATATTGTCAACAGGCAATATGGTTCTGATACTGATGACCTAGAGTTGCAAATAGCGGCCCAAACTACCACATCCTTGACCTGTGCAATTAAGAAAGAAGGAGAATCAGAACAATTCTGGGCATATGTGGTTGCGTGGACTTCTAATGTATCATATTATCATCTTCTTGTTTCTTTTTATTCTGAGAGCGATTAGTGGCATGCATTATACTGTTTTCAAGTTTCCAGGAAGTCTATGACGCAAAATACTCACGAGAAACACCAACTAATGGTTGTGGAGAAATATTCTTCTCCTGTCATACAATAAAGCTTGGTTTCAATTGATGACCATTCCCTCCCCATTCTCTTTCGATGTATAAATCAGTTCATGTGATGTTGTTGATCTTTCCTTTATATTGTGTCTCCAGGGGACAACAATGGTATGAACCGGAGTGGTGGAAATTTGGAGATGATAAATTGTAAGTATTTGGTACATATGCTATGAAATGAATGCAATGTAATGGTTGCATATTTTGGTATTTAGTTTCCATTTGGCTCATCTCTTAGATGTGTTGACTATTTATATTATATATGTGATGAAATGAATGCAATATGCAATGTAATAGTTGCATATTTTGGTATTTAGTTTCCATTTGGCTCATATCTTAGAGATGTTGACTATTTATATGCAGTTCCTGCTCCTTTTTGTCCTGCACATTAATATTCAGAAGCATTATTAGTATAGTTGACATGCATACATGCTAATCTCTGATGTTTGGCTTTGATTCTTGGTTATTGTGGTGTTCTCAGCTGTAGATGCTCTTTGTAACTTGGCTGTTCTCATTGTGCTGCTCAATCCCTGGGTTGAGAATATTTAAGTAGCATATAAAAGATCTAAATTCGGGAATGGTGATCTCCATCTGTTGTCATGGATATGTATAACCTGTTTGCTAGGGTTCCCTTGACATTCTGTGGAGTTGCTGGAGATGTTCACATCAAATTCAACCCCTTAATGTGGGCGGGGGAGGGTCAACAAGAACGTGCCCACTTCTTGATGGAACATGTTTGGGCTTCATATGAAAGGACTTAACCATAAATTTCATAAAGGGAAAGCATTATAAAAGATAAGAATGACGGGGTAGAAACCAACAGTAGGGAAGTCTAGACAGCTAGAAATTGTGTTGGTAGCCAGTCATCTCTAATGATTTATGGATAAGTTTTCTTATGTGGGTGAGAGTGTTGGGCAATATTTGGGATTTGTGAAATGACGCACAACAATCTCTTCTTGAAATCCTATTATGTGTTGTACATATATGGAAGACTAAAATCAAGATTTCACAGTTTTTCCTTTTTCTTTTTAACATACAATAAAACTTAAGTTCCACATGTCAGCATCGTCATCATCATCATCATCATTATTAGAGCCTTTTCCCAATTATTTGGGGTCGGCTACAAAAATCCTGGTCCTCATTCGGGATTCATGGAAAGTTTTAGCTAAGTTTTATGTTCGATGCCTAACTAACACAACCCACCTCTTTTACCCGGGTGTAAAGGAAAGTTTAAGGTCATCACCCTTCTTAGACCATAGATATAGATATGATATTATTATGTTGTACTTAACATTATAGAGAGAGATAGAGCCAGGGGTAGATGATGGGCCTTTGCTCTTTATGCTTTTCTCTTCTTCTACTTTCTTTTATATATATATATATATATATATATATATATATATATATATATATATATATATATATATATATATATATATATAGTAGCACCCCGCCCCTTGTGTGTGTTTGTGTCATATACTATACCCTAATTTCCTTTAGGTACTAGAGAACTCCAAGGTTCCAACATATTGGCATAATAATAAAGGTATTTTCAAATTTTGTGAATGTGAGGTCTCTGTATCTAGTTTTGGATCCATACAAGCTTTATGAACTAAGTATGCAAAATAGAAGTGTCGTTGGTTAGAGATCATAGTCATTGGAAGTAGGAGCAAGAGCGGAATGAGGGATCATCACATGCTAGAAGCTCTCTAGGTTGGGAGTGCATAATTTACAATTTTTAATTAATAAAAAAGAATTTCAAAAATTGGAAACTTTATCAATAGATAATAAATAATGACACAAATTACAACAAAAAATGGGCTCAAAGAATGAGCAATAATAATTTAATTATTTATTTAGTAAATTTATTTAAGAGTAATGACCCTATGAGACCCTCCCACACCCATGGGAGTAGGACCCCAAATGATCACCATCAAATTTGGCACAGATCTCTAGAAAAGTCAAGTCCCACACCCATGTGATAACTTTTCTAGAGATCTGTGCCAAATTTAATGGTGATCCTTTGGGGTCCTACTCACATGGGTGTGGGAGGGTCTTATAGTGTCATTTCTCTTTATTTAATTAACAAATAGTAGTTGTCTATTCCTTTAAGGTGAAATTTATGTAACAATAATCCCACAAAATAAAATAGAAATTACTATGATGAGGGACATCAGGATAAATAGTAGCAATATAAGGGAGCTGATTTTTTATTAGTAAAATATGCTTGTTTACAATGTCACACCTAACAGCCACCAAACGAATCTTCTTGGCCTCTTTAGCCCCTTCAAGCAGCTAGAAGCAACCCCAAAAAACTAGGGATCAAGATTCCAAAATTGAAAAATGCAATTCTGTAGAAATCCATAGAGCTTTAGAGTGCGGTCTATTGAGACCTAGGTTCGAATGTCCCTATAACCAGCGTACAAAAAAATGTTGATTCAAATCAGGAATCGACAAACTCGTAGTAGGAATTGGTGGGAGCCATTCGGAGTTGGGAATTGGCAGGTTCCTCACAAAACTGGCTGGTTCTCTGACAACAGTGTTTCAACACCCAGATCTGTGGGGTGGATCATTCACCCCAAATCCACGACGGGTCACTAGATCGATGATCCAGATTAGTTTGGATTCATCTGAATCGGTGATCCAAAAAAAATAAAAATAAAATAAAAATAGAAAGTAAAATAGGGGTTTATGTGATGGGGGTTTTGGGGGGACCTACAAAGACATTAGATAAGCTTAAAAAAACAAGAATATATACATAGGAGGGGTCTTATGTGGGAAACAGGTCGAGACCCGTACCGTTCCGTACCGGTCCATTCCAAACCGATTCCCCATCAAGATCAGGAATAGCTTTAAAACACCATTTGACATAACTGGCTACCACATTTTTTATTTCATTAATTTCATTTTTTTTTTTTCAATTTTTTTACTTTTTATTGACCAATTCTCTTGGCCTGGTCGCCAATTCGAAGCAATTCGCCGATCTGAACTGGTTTCCTAGATGGTGGTTCACGCAACCTATCCAGGTTTTTAAAACACTTCTTATAACCATTACAAGGATATTACTAGAAATATATGCTTTGAGATGATCAAGGATATGGGTTTCTTCATCCAAGAAACCTTTTCCAGGTTGGTAACCCCATAACATTCTAAGTTGAGAGAAGTGACATACTTCACTAGCGTACATATTTGTAGATGTAGCGTTTCTTACTTTGTATACAACAATGTTTTAAAACATGGATCAGTGGGGTGGATCGTTCACACAAAAATCCGTGTTGGATCGTTGGATAAGTGATTTGAATCAGGTGGAGATTGGTCCAAATCAGTGACCCAGGAAAATATTAAAAAATAAATGGAATAATATAAAAAATAAAATTAGGATTTATTTTAATTAAAATAAGGATTCCATATTCAATCAAAAGGTAAAATAACTTGTGAAAATAAAGAAGCTCCCGTGGTGGCATGAATTCCCACAACCATTATATCTTGCTGATGAGAAAGCTACTACTTTTCCCATAACCTGTGGGTTTTTCCTATGATAAAGACTGTTGTATACTGATATTGACAACTGGCCTAATCAATCTGCTTTGGAAAGCCTCATTTATGACATTTTGTGTAACACTGAATACCCTTATAGCACATTGGTTCTTGTCTTTGCAGTTATTTTCGCCATGTTGCTGATCCACTTATTATTCTCTCAAAGAACTTGGCTGAGTACATCAACATAAACAGGTTAGAATCAAGGCCATTGCTTTGGTACGACTTAGCTTGGTTTCCATTGGGTGGGAATTTGTGTGAGTTAGTGTAGTTTCAGTTGTGGGAATTGGGTGCGACTTTGTTGGCTTTCCATTGCTTGAGAATTAGAGAGAATGTCAATGGATCTGATAAACCTTTTAATTGTCAATAGATATGATAATTAATCATTCTTTCCCTGAATATACAACGACAATAAAGAGAATTTGAAAATAAAATTGTAAGTATGATGATTGAAGAATAAAAATCAATGTCAAGTATGTGGACATGGACTGAAAAGAAAAAAGTTCACGGATATGACAAGGAATTTCAATATCTTGCATAAAATTGAGCAAATTCCTTTTTCCAAAAAAAATTGAGCAAATTCCTCAGAAGTATAATTGGAATTCGTAGTTGTTATCAGTATGGGTATTATTATTAACCGTTATTTTTTTGTGAGTTATGTATCATTAGTGTTCTTACATTCCTCTCTATCTCATTGCAGTGCATCTCTCCAGACTTATGCTCATGAGGACATATCGGTTGGTTCTTGGATGATAGGCCTGGATGCAACTTATATTGATGAAAAGCGCCTCTGCTGTAGCAACTCTGGTCAAGGTGAAAACTCGTTCACTTCTGGTTATTTTCTTTTTGCAATTTAAGCATGTCAAATAATTAGTTTTTCCTTTGTTTGCAGACAGAATATGTTCCATTGTTTGAAGAATGAGAGGAGCTCTCCTTGGCAATTGTAGGCATGTGCTTGGATGAATACTGACAATCTTGAACTAGTGGTCTTTGATTAACACATCACCTGTGATTATGGGGTTATCCGACCAATTCATTCGGATGCTAATCTAACACCTATAACAGTAGGGAGGATGTTTTATTTTTGTGGACCTGAGTATTGGATCACTCTATTTCTTCATTGGTTGTAAAAATGTATTTATTGTCATAAAATGGAACCTCTGATCTGTAACTCGAGTTTTGATTCAAGAGAAGTGAATTTTCAGATGCCATGTTTGTTTAGAATAAAATCTTTACAGACGCAATAACTTGGTATTTAGAAATGTCATCAGCCAATGCCATTTGGAGAGAGAGAGAGAGAGAGAGAGAGAGAGAGAGAGAGCCATGTCTCTTTCAATGGAGAGCATAATCTCGATCAATTGACCATCAATGTTCTTTATCTGCCATATACTGGTAAGTGAAGGAAAGAAAAAAGCAGAGCACTTAGATAAGAGAAGCAAAAGAAAGCAACTTTTCATCAAGCAAGATCTGCAAGGTCGAAGCTCTTCTCAACTGCCTTGTGCCAAGACTTGAAGCGCCTGTCTCTCTCCTCTTCACAGACTCTCGGGTTGAAGACGGTGTCATTAGATGCCTTGTTGCCAGAGGTAAAGATGTCATCCTCCGTCCAAACACCAGTTGCAAGCCCAGCTGCATAGGCTGCACCCAGAGCTGTGGTCTCAATGTCTGCTGGTCTTAGCACCGGACTTCCCAACAGGTCCGCCTGCACATGCACATGCCATGCAGTTACAATGTCAATCATCTACTCTCTCTCTCACACACACACAATAACTACTTTTAAGAGCTCCCTCCTCTCCTCCCTCCATCCCACCAAATTTGAAGTACTAATCACACACACAGACAGAGTCATTGAGAGCCACAAACCTGGAGCTGCATGAGCAAATTGTTTACTGTAGCCCCCCCATCCACCCTCAGCACGAACCCCTCCCCCTCCCCTGCATCTGCCCTCATTGCCTCCACCACATCCCTCACCTGAAAGCACATACTCTCCAACACCGCCCTTGCAATGTGAGCCTTGCTAGTGGCCCTTGTCATCCCCACCAAAACCCCCCTTGCATCATCCCTCCACCACGGAGCAAGCAAACCCCCAAAGGCCGGAACAAAATAAACCCCTCCCGCACCCTCCTCCCCTGCCAGCTCTGCCAATCCCTCAATCTCCGATGCCGTCTTAATCAGCCCTAACCCATCTCTCAACCATTGAACAGCTGCCCCTGCAATGGCAATTGACCCCTCGAGTGCATAACTTGAGGGCTTGTTTGGCCCTAATTTGTAGGCTATGGTGCTCAATAAACCATGTTTTGAGTGCTTGGGTGAGAGACCAGTGTTTATGAGTATAAAGGCACCTGTCCCGTAAGTGCTTTTTGCCTCACCAGGCTTGCATGCTTGGCCAAGGGTCGCAGCATGCTGGTCACCAAGGCACCCAGCAATGGGGGTGCCCACCAGCGGCCAGCCCTTGGCAATGCGGCCGATGAGTTCGGCATTGCTGATGATTCTGGGGAGGAGAGAGGGGGGGATTTTTAGGGTCTCGAGGGTGGGGGCATGCCAGGTAAGGGTAGCGAGGTCCATGAGCATTGTGCGGCTCGCGTTTGAGCAGTCAGTGACATGGACACCCTTGTGCACTCCACCTGCATGAAAGGATTTGAAAAATAGTTGAAACATCAGTTTTCATGGCTGTTTTGGTAAAAAAACCATGGAATAATTTGCGGAAGTTGAAAATAACAGTAATCATACATGGCTGTCATAGTAAATATCACCAATCACAGGTAAAATTTCAAAAGAACGGGCATTATACATGTTATAGAGGGCCATTTATAAGCGAATGGGCCTTTAATGGCTGTTATAGTAAATATCTAATAACCGAGCAACTGTTGTGCCCGTTATAACGGCCACTTATGACGAGCCGTAAGGACCTTTCTCCATTATAACATTTCTATGGCTATGACCGAATACATGTCAGCAAATATCAACAGGCAAAATTGGAAAATAAGCACAAACAGCCGTTTATTCAGAATGGACCTTCGCCACTATAACAGGTGATGTTGGTTTTCAAAATCTTACCTGTGAGGTTCCAAATGAGCCAAGTATCAACGGTGCCAAAGAGGGCATCACCAGATTGGGCTGCAGCCTTGACAGCATCGACGTTTTCTAGGAGCCAAATGAGCTTTAGGGCTGAGAAGTAGGTGCTAACCGGTAGCCCAGTTGTTTCCGTGAAGTGGGTTCGGCCGCCTGGGAGTGATTCCTCTAGTCTCCTGCAATGACATGGGTAGTTTCTTCGAGTAAATTTGAGAAACGCAAGTTCTCTATGGTTAGGTGTATCTTGGTCACTCCTTTGAACTTTTTGATAGCAAAACCTGACTAAGGTTTATCTTACAGTCTCTCTATTGTTTTGTGCATCTTAGAACTTTGTATCACCCCTTTATGTTTTTTGGTACCAGAACCTGGTTTTAGATTCTCCTAAAGCGCAAGTTGATTTTAGGTTTTAAGCTGTCCTTGAATTTGTTTTGCTTTGAGCTTTTTGAAAGTGGTGGATTTCGTTGCTCTATTAAATTTGAGCTCATTTCATATCCCCACTGAATTACAGAAAAGTTTTGCTTTGGGCTCTTTGAAAGTGGTGGATTTCATCATTTCCCTATTGAGTTTGAGCTGGTCTCATATCTCTATTCAATTTAAGCTGATTTCAATTTTAAAAGTTTGAATGGATTTTGGTTGCAAAACACGTATAACTCTTTATGAAGCAGAATTGTAGACTGGAATTCATGTAGCCGAATCAAAAAATTACGAAAAAACTCTGACCATGATGAATGAGTATAATGATTAACCAATATGGGAACACACAACTCACTTTCCATTCCTTGAAAATGGGAAAGTACAATTTAATCTTAGTTGTCATCAACATCCAAAAGAACATGACAGTACCCAACTGGTGGCTCCCACTCTCTCCACTAGCGTCCATTGCAGCCATATACTATAACGACCATAGATTCCCATGGTCCAGCAGATCATTACTATGATTTTCCTTTGGGCGGGTATTACAGGGGAAACCGTGATGTTTTCGTGCCAAATAAAAGTCTGAAAAGATCCGATCACTTGTCTTCTAGTTCTTTTAACTGAAAAAATGAAATTTACAAATAAATGATTTCTTTTAAAAAACCGCATATTTTCTATGTTATATAAATGAGTTACCCTTTGTCACTTTTTTTATTTACGGAAAATGGTAACAAAATAAGAAAAGAAAATGTATGTTTATATAGCACGGATGCTTTAAACAATCAATATAGAATGCACCCCATAAATTTCACTAGAAGAAGAAGTTGTTTCCATGCTCAAATATCCTCAAATTGATATATCCTAGACATGAGAAAAAAAAATAGATTTCAAGTTTTGAAAATAGTGCACCTTATAAGGCATTTTTGAACATCAATTTTCAATATTTTCAAGACTTCATAGATAGGCTGGATCTACACTATTTTTTAACTTTATATTTTATAATTAAAGATAAAAATACATTTTAAAGCTATAACAAATATTTTTATTATTGAAACTACATTTATCAATAGTATTTGAAGGTGAGCTGTACTTTGATGGTTTAGTGCCTGTGCTCTATACAAAATGCGCCCATAAGTAAAACCTCACCCCATGACTCATGGCAATTCAAGTATTGAAAAACTTAAAACATTAGGGTTGTCGTAAAAAAATAAAAAAAAGGAAAAAAAATAAAAAATAAAAAGTAAAAATAAAATAATATATATATGTATATATATATATATATATATATATAG